CAATATTTACCTGCCACTTGGGCCTTCAAGAAGACAAGTAACAATAGTGCTTCCTTGACTAACTTTAACTTGTTCAGCCAGAGCATAGTTCTTCTATATATGTGGTCATGCCGCTCACCACATTCCACTATGCCATTAAGTCTGAAAGACATGATAAGTTGATTATCTCATTTTTCTGCTACAAGAAACTATTATTAAATTTAATCATAGTCAGATATAAACTCAGGAAGGCTAAAGCACCCTATTAACAACACGTGGTGGATTGAGAAAAATATCACATTATCTACCCAATCACGACAATAACCATTATTTTCATATTAGTAAGTTTCTACTGAGAAAGTAATCATTTTCCCACCAGAAAGGCAACAACTTTTTGATGGATGCTACTATTGTCCAATCAAACAAACCTACCAATTTCTTCAATCAAAAACTTTTTAGTGGAAAAACAGTATTTTTTTTCCATTCCTTCTGATTCTGTAATCAGAAATCTGAATTTGTGAGACTCTAGAAAACATTTGCCATCCTCTAAAGTATAAACACATTTTCTATTAATAGATTCAAGTATAATACAATAAAAGCAGATTTCTTATTAACCTTCATCACGGTGCAGTCCTCTAAATCCCCAAAACTTGCTCATGTATTCTCTGAGTCCTTCTGTGTCCACATCCCATGGAATGCCCAAAGCCTAACACAAATGCACATTATAGATACATAAACAACCGCATATACTAAATTAAGCACAGCCACAAAATCTACATTTCGACGGTCAAATGTGTGAAATTTTAGACTTACCACAAGCTTTCGGTCAGTCATGGTGAAGTCAATCCGGGAATTTCTGGAATCAAGAAAGGCAGCTCTGTTGAGTTTCCCTATCTCTCACACCAACTCTCTAATAGCTCACGCACTCTAAACCAAACAATGAAAAACTTACAGCAAAGTGTTCATTTTGAACCGTAAATTAAGAACTGGAGAAGAAGAACCAGATGACACGAGATTTGGAGAAAGAATTTGGAAGAATCGAATAGGAATCAAGAGAGTACGGAGATACGGACACTGCAGGACGGAGACACAGTCGTGTCTCAGTCTCGGGGAGCTGTTCGGAATAAGGTGAAAGGGAAACCATAGACACGGTGATGGTGGTGGATTGATGAATGGTGGGGAGCGGTACAAGATGGCCGGAGGAGAAGCGACGGATTTTTAGAAGGAAAATTGAGGGTAGTAGAATTGTGAAAAAAAAAAAAAAAAATCGCAAGGTGACATGGAGAAATGCCTCCATCCACGCATGCATGGAGAAAATGCCTCTCTCCAAACATTTTTTAAAATTATATAAATTTAACAAGATTTTAAGGTGCAAGGCACACTAAAAAAATTTAGAAAATACATAAATTGATTAGCCATCCCTGCCGTTCCACCTTGAGCGTTTCAAAATTTTTTTGGTTCCCTTTTTCTTTTAAAAAAATACCCATAAATTATTTTAGTCGACGCATGGAGAAATGCCTCCGTCCATGCCTCCATCCAAGTGGACGGAGGCATTACTCTATGCCTACATCCAAGTGTTCATGTCTCCGTCCAAGTGGACGGATGCATGAAATATCTCCATCCAAGTCATGCCTCCGTCCTCCATCCAAGTCACGCCTCCGTCCAAGTGGACGGATACATATCTCCATGCCTTCGTCCGCCGGGGCGGAGGCATGGAGATATGTATCCGTCCACTTTGATGGAGGATGCCTCCGTCCACTTGGATGAAGGCATTTCTCCATGTCGCGATTTTTTTTTACAATTCTACTAATAACATTTTTTTTAAACTATATAAATTTAACAAGTGCAACGCACACTAAAAAATTAGAAAATACATTTTACCAAAAATAAATACCCATAAATTGATTAGCCACCCCTGCCAACGTTTCAAAATTATATTTTGGTTCCCTTTTCTCGTTTATTTTGGTATTTCTTTTGGTTTTTCCCCATCTCTTGTTGGGTTCTTTATTTGGCAAGTTTTCTTCATAAACTGCTAAGATAACCCTTCAAAAAATATGCAGAAACTTTTCTTGAAATTTATTTTACAAGAAATGGAAATGTCTACATCTCAAACTGCATGAACTTGGATATTTGAAACAGAAACTTAATAAAACTTTTCATCTAGCCTTTTATTTTCAACATTCACAAATTGATCAAAAATTACTTGGTAGCTTCCATTTTTACACCTGCTGCTGGAGTTTTGTTTTCTCTAAGATCATTATTTTGGAGCTGAGATCTATTGTGATGCCAAACTCATCATGGAAATCCAATAGCTTAAGGCAATCACAACAAAGCATTGGAAATTAAGCACGAAGGTTAGAAATAGAAAATTCTCTTGGTTTTGCAGGTAATAGAACTTGACGCGTTACGACTTGGTTATACTCCGTAGGCATGTTGTTTCAGATGGTAGGAAAAAGGGTGGGATTAACCTACAAAATAAGTTCCCTTTCTGGTTAAAGTCCTTTCATTTGATTGGAATTTTGGCTTTATCCTATTTATTTATTAAAGAGATTAACAGTTGACTATGTAAAAAGTGCTAAATAGTTTCATCACAATTTAACAACAAGAATAGATTTTTTTTTTCTTTTTTAGGAATAAGGAAGAATAAAAAACATTCATCATTTCTCAAGAAATACTGATTAGATCTCTCCAACTCATTATATCCCAAATCCATTTCTTATTCTGCATAAAGTGAATTTTCCTATAAATAAACACTGTCAAGCTTCTCATTAAACTTCAACGACGAAAACAAGATTTTTCATCATGTCTAACTTTGCGTAGGCAAACTTATTTTCAAGTTAATTATTTCGTCAAATGTAATTTACGAAGTTATTTTTTTTACTAAGAAAACATTTTTTTCTACTCTAAAGCATAGCCAATCATGCTTGTCCAAGAGTTTAATTGTGGATTTCACATTTCATGGTCACGCATCAAATCAGAGAAAAAAAAATCAATGCCACAGTGAACAAAGCAGTGTGCCTCCATGCACGCGGACGGAGGCACGATGTTCCTTCGTCTGGGTGCACTGAGGTACGCTGGCCAGCACGGAGGCACGCTGGTTCATCGTGCCTCCGTTCGCATGCACTGAGGCACGCTGGTGCCTCCGTGCGCAGTGTGCCTTCATGCATGCGGACGGAGGCACGATGTGCCTCCGTGCTCGTGCACAGAGGCACACTCGCGTTCACGGGGCACCAGCATGAAGGCACGCTGGTGCCTTTGTGTGCAGTGTGCCTCTGTGCACGCGAAAGGAAGCACGATGTGCCTTCTTGCGCGCTCATGCACGGGGCACCAGCAGGAAGGCACGCTGGTGCCTCCGTGCGCAGTGTGCCTCCTGTACACGGACGGAGGCACACTATGCCTCCATATGCACATAAAACTTACCTCTTTTCCTGCAGTTAGAGAGAATTAGTTAAATTAATTGAGCGTCTACTAACAGAAGGAAAACAAAGTAGTACTTTACTGTAGGATTGATTTACTTCTTTGATAGAGGCATCCATAAGGGTAAAAGAGAAGCACAAACCATTTCAGCACCATAGCATGAACTACAGTATGTCTCATTGTACTCAAGCCTGCCACCATGTCTTTGTAAAAGCTTCTCAATCTGGATTGTATATAAAACAAAGGACAGATAGGTAGTTAGTGAACCCAACAATTAAAAGAGAAGTAACAATTTTATGAAACATATGTCTCAACTATCAATTCTAAAATAAATCATTGTACTGCAGTTCTAATAGAAAATATTTCCCAAGTATAAAAAGAAAGAGATGCTAAGAATAAGTGATACAATTATTTTCCAACATAAAAAATAAAGTATTTTCCTCGATCTCAGGAAATATTATTTTTATATTCACTATTCAGAATGTAATATAAATTAATCAGGAGACTGTCAATATTTTGATACAAGTGACTCAATGAGTGTAACTCTAGCTTAAACATAAAGCATCAATCTATTTTCAGTAAATAGAGATGATTCTAAGTAAGATGGGTTTCATAAACATCGAAATTCTCCCTCTACAGAAGAATATGATAGATATTAGGTTATAAATAACTATACTAAAAGAGAAAGAAAAAAGAAATGTAGTCAACCTGCAGTTTATCGTAGGCAGCATGGTACTGGGGAAACCTTCCCCTAGGCCTACCTAAAGCTTCTTGACATGTAGTCTCTCTTTCAATCAACTCATCTGTTGAATTTTTGTTATTGATGTTTAAAAGGTTGTCTTGGGTAGAAGGATGCAAGATGTGATTATGAACTCTTTCAATACCTTCATGCCATCCAGGCTCGCCAAAAAGGAAAAAGCAACGGATATTGAAGAGGATCATAACAACCAAAACAATAATGCGCTCTATGTGAAGCACGAGAGTGAGCTTAAATTGATATATCACGAATTTTGTTGTTTGTAGATGGATCATCATCACCCAAACGGCGGCTACTTGTAAAGCCGTTGAAGTGTTGTACACTCTTTGATCTAGACCTGGATCGCATCTTATTTGTATTCGACATGTATGTAAACTATCAATATCGCTCAATGAACGAAAGAATCTAGAGTAAGGATTAATCTTAACGATATCAACTAACATATGTAAAATTGATTCACAAAATTTATTTGAGATATTCAACCGGTTTGATATTTCATTTTCAGTATCGTAGAAATATAACTGTAAATACGTTGGGTTATTGTCAAATGGTAACAGTTGGTTCATATAATGATATACTTGTCCTTAAACTCTAAATGTATAAATACTTTTATTCCTTTTACACAAATCTATATCATACTTGACGCCAAAAGAGGTGAAAACAAAATGGTTGTTATAACTTCGTGCAATTTTCTTGAAATTCAATGCTTCGACTGAGTTTGAAGTAAATAATTCATATAATTGATTGGGCACACCATGTATATGCAATTTAACCTTGCCGTCAGAACAACAAAACCCTTTACTCTCTCAATGGAATTTTTTTGCATCACAATGTGAACAAATTGTTGGCTTGACAAGAACATGGGATTCAGTAGGAATATTTTGCAGACTAATGTCTGCATTTTGCTGATTATTTTCGACACATTCATCATCAGATGTAAGTCAGTTGTCTTCACGCGCATATTGACTATTGCCATCTGGTGTGCAAATTGAAGATAGACTATAACTACAGCCGGTGACTATAGTAAAACAAATTGGCATTACGATGATGAAGAGATGCAAATATATTAATTTGTAAGGGATGAAAGTAGTCTAAATGTCACCCTAACAAACACAAGTAACCTAAAGTGAATTTTTTTAAACTCACTTTTTTCATGTTGGAAACAATCCTGATGAACATTATTTGTGTCAGCTTGAACTTGAAGTCCAAGACGTCAAAGAGGCCGTACAATTAAACAATCTGGTAAAAAAAATAGGCAAAAACTTTCTAACATAATGTCTTAATGAAAATATTCTCCGTAGATATATCGAAGTAGGAAAAAAAATGCTTACCTATTTCAGAACCCCGTAAAGATAGATTCTGGATATGCATCTGCAGACAAAGACAACAATAACAACAACAAAACGAAAATAAGCATAGCTATCTACATCAATTACATCCATATAGAATACACAAACTCAACATGTCGAAGAAGTTTTCTCAACAAGCACTATAAGTAAACTCTCTATAAATACCTTGTTGTGCTATTCTCTTCTTTCGATTATGGGTAAGTGTTGGTTGACCATCCACTTCTTATTATCGTGCACCACGCAACTCTCTTGATTGGGCGTATAACTCTCGACGACGTGAATTTCTAGTTTCTCTTCCTCCAGCATAAATTTCTCTGCGTCATTTTTTCGTAGTTCACAGCTTGCAGCATCCATAAGATAAACAACTACATATAAAAAATATTCCCTCAGATGTTCTAGAGATGGAGATAGCAATCAGATAAAAAAGAAAACGAATATTCCCTCACAACTAGTTCCCTAACTTTCATTCCTTCCATATCTGAACAAGTTAAAGAAGATGGAACAATTGAAAGAAAGTCAAGTAAGTAGTCTAGAAATGTTTTTTTTCTTGTTTGTTGGATTAAAATTGTAAGTTTTATTGGGAATGTAACTCCATGCCTTTTCTACCTCAACAGATGTTGAGAAGAATAACATTGATTTAATAAAAATAGCTTGATTTCGAATGCAGCCACAAAAATCAAGGAATCTTTCAGACCTTTCCTTGAATAACAAAATTTGAATTCAACAAGGTACCACACTACATAAAGCAAATGAAGATAAACAAACCAATATAAATATTCAAGCACAAACAAACTTGTGTGATCATAAAAACCCAATATATATAACACTTGTTGTCAATGAAATCATGGTATATTTTTCAGGAATTGCAAACAAGTTTTTCGAAAAAAATGTAATATTCAGGGCCTTAACTTATATCAATCAACACTTTCAAGAACTCATAAAATGGCAGTGTCTCCTAAGTCATTAGAGATTTAGAAATCAAATGCATCTGATCTTCCATGTGCCCACGATGCAAGATGCCAAAATTTAATAAGAAAAATAATCCTCCAAAAATTAAGGTACAGCAACGTGGAGATCTAAAAAATTTTGCAAGTCATATTATATAATATCAAAGAATCATAAGTTACAATATGCATTTGAAAGGATAATGCAAGAATAGTTTTCAAACCACAAAGAAAGGTCCAACTGCAGAACCCAAAAGTATATCTTTCTTAAAGGTTGTTTTTAGTTCCTCAAACATTGTACTTTGCCCTCAATT